GGAGCTCCACCTAGGGTCGCAGCGGCGCAGATCGCATGGCGGCCCACCCAAGGTCCCAATGGCTCAGTTCGCATCGAGTTCTTCCGGGCAGGGCCGCCCGAGGGCGCGCGGAAGGAGCTGGGGCAGCGTGGCGCGCGCGAGGCGGCGGAGAAGAAAGGCGGCGGCCCTCGGCAGGGGGCCGGGCTTCACCGAGTTTGTCCGCGAGGCATGACCTGAGGAGCGGCCCGCCCGAGCATCGCCGTCTCTCGACGGTCAGACTGTTGGGCGTCGCGCCGCGGGCGATCCGCGCGTCGCTGGGGCCCAGTCCGGGCGACCAAGGCGCGCGGCGGTACTTCCGCGCTGCGCGCTGCCCAGAGCCTCGCTCGCCCCTGTCGACGCTCTGCCCAGCGGCCGCAGCCTTGCCCGCTATCAGCCAGCCAAGTAGCTCTCTCTTCTCCGTGCAGCGGACGACCCGCGCGCGTCGCCGGGGCCCCTTCGCGGCGACTGGCGCGCGTCGCGGGGGCCCCGCGCGGCGCCGCGCCCGCGGCCATGGACATCGGCGCGCGCGGGCAAAGAGGCAGAAAACTGAAGGGAAGGAAGCGGGCACGATCCTCGCGAGGAGCGCGCCGACGTGGGCGTCGACGTCGACGCCCATGCGCGTAGACTGATTCGCACGCAGACTCATTCACAATCAGACTCACTCGCGCTCCGGCTCACCCGTTCTCAGCTCCTCGCACTTGAACCGACCGTCTCCGTTCGCGTCGTGTACCCCGCCACGAATTTCGACGCGCCCCGCGCGCGGTTCGCGGCCCCGTAAGGGGCGCAGGCGAAGATGATATTCACAAAACCCGGTATTCACAACGGCAGATGGTTGGGTCCTTCGTCCCGCCACGCTTTCTCCAGCGCCCTCGCGGCCGGTGGTCGCCTCGCCCAGAGATCCCAAAACCTCGCCCTCACTCTGCCCGAAGGCACCGCGCTCTGAGCTCCCAGCGGCTCGCGAGGCGCCTCGAGGATGGGCCAAGACTCGGGGCCGAGGCAGGGGGCGATGCAGAGCTCGGCACCGAGTGCAAGGCATCGCGCTGCCTCGTTGTTGCTGGCCTGCGACGGCGGCTGCGCTTCTTCTCGGGCCCGACCTTGCAGGAGTCCAGCTTGAGCATCTTGTCATCGGGCTTCTTGTCGTCGAAGCTCTTGTCCTCGAGCTCGCTGTTGTTCTGAAGCTCCTTGTCCTCGCGCTTGCAGGAGACCAGCTTGATCTTCTGGGCCTCTAGCTTCATGTCGTCGAGGCGGTTGTCCTCGGGCATGCTGGCGCCCTCCTCCTGCGCGGTTGGTTGCGTCTCTTCGTGCTGCTCGACGATGTTTGCGCGCCGCCAGGCGCCCGCTCGTCGCCCTGCGTTTACTTTGCGAAGAACGCCCGCGAGACGACGCTCTCGTCGCTGTCCGACTCGGCCATGCTCGCTGTCGGAGCGGAAACGGGGCTTGGCATGCTTGATCGCAAATGGGCCACGGGACGCGCTGCGTCCTCAGCGGGCTTGACCCGAGCAATGCTTGCACCAACGAGCTCGCGCCCATTGCACCACGTAGTTCGCGCCACCTCGGCGATGCATCGGCGAAGCTCGGCAGTGCATCGGCGATGCGGTGGGCCTGGCCTGTGCTGTTGTGGCAGCTGTTGTTTGTGCTGTTGTTGCTTGTCTTGTTGCTGTTGTCGCCTGCTGTTGCGCAAGTTGCTGGTGCTGCTGTTGTGCTTGCTGTTGCTTATGTTGTTGGTGGTGTTGTTGTGTTGCGGTCGCGTGCGCGCGCGTCTTGTTTGCGCGCGCGCGACCGCTAGGTGCCAGGGCTCCATCCTCGGATCTAGGATCCGAGTTGCTCGCAGATGCTCAAGGCCAAGATCTCGGCCCATCAATCCGAGCATGGAGGGTCGAGCCTGCTTGATGGCAGTCTGGGCCAAAAGACGGCGACGAGGGTGATCGACGATCGCCGAGGATCGATCGTCGATCCTCGGATCGCCAACCCGAGATCGTCGAGTCCAAGCGCGGCGATCCTCGGATCTAGGACCCAAGGTTTTCAAATATGGTTGGAACCAAGATCTGGGACCCTCGATCCGAGGATCCAGGATCGAGCCTCCTCGATGGCGGTCTCGGCCCGAGGACGGCGACGGGGGCGATCGACGATCGCCTAGGCACGATCCTCGATTCTCGGGTCGCAAACTGAAGCCTTCGAACCCAAGCGCAGCAGCGGTCCTCGGATCAAGGATGCAAGGCGCTCGTAGATTCTCTGAACCGAGATCTCGGATCCTCGATCCGAGGATCGATCCTACTGGATGGCAGTCTGGGCCCGGGGACGGCGACGAGGGCGATCGACGATCGCCGAGGCTCGACCCTCGTTCCTCGAAACGCGAAACCGAGATCTTCAAATCCAAGCGTGGCTATCTTCGGGTCTAGCATTCAAGGCGCCCAAAGCTGCTCGGAACCAAGATCTGGGGTTTCTCGATCCGAGGGGCGAGGATCGAGCCTCCATGACGGCGGCGTGGGCCTGGCGACGGCGACGGGGGCGATCGACGATCGCCGAGGCTCAATCCTCGATCCTCGGATCACCAAACCGAGATCATCTAGACCAAACTTGGCGACCCTCAGATCTATGACCCAAGATGCTCGCATAATCTCGGACTCAAGGTCTCGGGTCTTCGATCCGAGGATGGAGGGTCGGGCCTGCTTGATTGCTTGATGCTTGATCGAGGATCACTCGGCGAGAGGGGGGGGTGGCGCCCCGCGGCTTGGAACGCCGCTCGCGCGCGCTCGAGCGCTCGCACGGGGCCTGAAAGCAGACGCGGTTCGAGCGCGTGCCTCGAGACGCTCGCGCGGCACTCTCGCAGCGAAAAGCATGGGGGGCGCTCCGTTCGGGGCGCAGGTGCGCCGGGCGCTCGCAGCTCGCCGCCGCTCGGCTCTCAGGCGCCCTTTGGCGTCGACTCGTCGGCCTCTGGCTCGGCCTTCGCGTCGGCTCTTGTCGGCCTTGCGCTGGCTGGCCATCTCGTTGGGGTCGTCGTGGATATTGGCGAAGACTTCGAAATTCATCATGATTCGCTGGTAGGCAGCCATTGTCTCGAA